ATTTCACAGGCCATTGTGTGTTTTTCACGGCCGTGAATTTGTAGGGCCCTACTTATAACCTACTGCACCAAGCAGGCAATTCATCAGGGAAGCAAATGTGCCACAGGGTCTTTAGCTGGACTCCAGCCACACCCTAGCTACTTCAGAGCCACATGGCCAATTTAGTTACAAAGTTCTTCTTAAAAAGCCTCAGGCTATTCCCCATCCAACAGAGGCTTGGCAAAGATTATGAAGGCAGGGGGAAGCGCTCACCTCTCTGCCCCAGTAGAAACCCTGACTCATTGCAGGCCACAGGGGAGCAGGGTCTGCTGTGTCCGGAAAGAGCCATTCCTTGACCTTGCAATCGCAATAGCATTTAGCAAGCCCTTGTGAAACTGCAAGCCAGAGGCCTGCGTTGGAAGCATCTGTCAGGAGACAGAGCCAAGCCCAGCCTAAGCCTGGAGCAAAAAAAAAAAACCAACCCAACACTTCAATATGTGATCTGGCCTGAAATCCTACAGACCAGCTCCTCCTGTCAGCTCAGGACTGAGATAAGTTTCCCCACAGTACAGGGCCCTTCAACTGTAACAGCTGATCAGAGACTTCTCTGATCTGAAGGTTATTCTACAGCAGGGGTAGGCAACCTACGGCACGCGTGCCAAAGGCGGCACGCTAGCTGATTTTCAGTGGCACTTACGCTGCCCGGGGGGGCTCTGCATTTTAATTTAATTTTAAATGAAGCTTCTTAAACATTTTAAAAACCTTATTTACTTGACATACAATAGTTTAGTTATATATTAACGACTTATAGAAAGAGACCTTCTAAAAATGTTAAAATGTATGACTGGCACGTGAAACCTTAAATTAGCGTGAATAAACGAAGACTCGGCACACCACTTCTGAAAGGTTGTTGACCCCTGTTCTACAGCAATGCAGGCTAAAACCAAGCCTCCGCATTAGCCTTGTAAGCCAACTCTGGGACACCTCCCCTGGGGGCAGGTCATTCCCTAGCTGTCTCCTAAGGGTTTCTAGCAGCTTACTCTGCAACATCTAGTGGTACAGGCCCCTAGAGTCAGGATACAGAACTAGGTAGGTCCTGGTCTAACAGGGTCTGGCCATCCCTATATTGCTGTATTCTGCAAGAAGTTTATTGCAGATTGTCTGACGAATGTTAACTTAGACTTATTTCAGCAGTGACTGATTGCCACAGAGCTCCCCCAGTGTGCACAGGACTGGCATCTGCTGCTGCAGCTGTCTGATAGATGAATATCATCAGATCCAGATTAGTCCCCCAAATCAGCTGGTTAAACAACTGGACTGCACAGAGGCTGCGAAAGAGGGCAGTGTGGGCTCCCTCCAGGTCCTTGAGACTAGTGAGGAGAAACAGAGGTGAGGAGAAACAATGAGGAGGAGGAGGTTCCATGATTGCCAAACTCCCCGCTCCCAAACGAGCTGACTCTACTCCAGTACATCCCACCTCATGCATTTTTATTCCTAGAGCAGCCTTCTTGCTTCCTCTTTCCTGTCATTTAAATACCCATCAGTGTAACCCTGCCACCCCACGCCTGCTGGTTGCTTTATGCAGGCGCTCAGAGCCTTCCTTGCACGTCAAGCCCCGCTCTGGATCCCACCCTCCTGAGGATGCGCAGATGAATGCACGGTACTGGGTCTCAGACTGGCCACAGTAGGTAGAACCCCGCCTTAACCCAGTCTGAGCTACAGATCCAGGCAGGAGCATGGCCCCCGAAGGCTGAGCCAACTGCACCTCCAGCTACCGCGCAGATTCATTCAGGGCTTTGCATTTTTGCTGTGGATACTGGAACGATGCAGCTGAGCTGTGGAACAGACACACAGTCGAGTTGGTTATGGAGATGCCAGTGCTTTCTCCCGAGCTACACAGGGGGGTTGGTTGCCTGGTGGGAGGGAGACACTCATGGAGTACAGTACTTCACCTTGCTGGGAGCAACGGTGCTGGGCACACTTGGGCACCCTTGCAGGTGCTTACGTGTAGAGGCGGGGGGGGGGGGGGTATTACAAGGAAACCAGCAAAACCTGGGGCTGACAACGCCCAGATGTGCAAGGGAATAGCCACACTAGCAGAATCCGTACCTGTAGCCAGCAGATGTCCTGGTGCTAAGCCAGGAGTGTAGACAGGGCTCGCACGATTACACTATCCGGTCAGGACAGTCTGAGCTCGGAGACTCACAGGCTCTAAGGGGATCGCTGTTAATCCTAGCCTGCCCTCCCGCGTGACACATTCATTCCTGTATGAACTGGAGCGGATTTTTTAGAAAATCATCCAATCCTGATTTAAAGATTGCCAGCGATGGAGAATCCACCATCCACCATGGGAAGTTGTTCCGGTGGTTAACTGCCCTCACTGTTAAAAATGTGCCTTATTTGAGTGGCTCTTAAAATCTCCTTCGCACCTTCCCCCAAGCATTACAACTCCACCGACTCCCCTCACTGCTTGTTCTAGCTTCCTCCGGTATCGAACCTGCGTTTTCTCCATTACAACCAGAGCCCATTGCTTCCTGTTCTTCCCCCTGTGATGTGCAGGCTCTCTGGGTCAGGAGCCTTCCTTCCGTGGGAAAAGGCCCATTGCTGGAACAAATAAGGGAGGAGCATGGCAAGGAGCCTGGGGGCTTGTGAAGACACCCAGACACTTCTCTGTTTGGCTAGCACTGTGCGGAGGAAACAAACACTCCAGAAAACTGGCAGGGAACAGGGAGAAAGTGAATCTGGGAAGGATTCAACTCCAAGTCTAGGGACAAGTCACCCAGTTGGGACTGGCCACAAGTCAGGTCTGTCTTGTCGCTGCCTGGACCTCCAACCCCCACAGGGATTGAGGAGGGTGGGGGGAAGGGGATGGTCTCTTAACACAGCCTTTTGAAGGGATGAAACTATCAGTGGGAAACAGAGCCAAGCCCAACTCAGGCTAATTCCACTCACTGCAGTGGCATGACCCACAGTGATGGGCTGAGAGTTACCTCTGCCTCGGATGACATAGGTTCCCATCTCTATGGTTCACCTGAGTCTGTGACCCAATCCAGTGCTGTCCCCCTGGGGGGCTCTCCCCGACAAGCATCAGGATTAGAAACCGTTCAGCGAAACCTCAGACTGTCCCGAAAAAGCTGGCTGAGCTTCTTATGCCCCTGGGACCGGTTTCTACTCTCCACGGGTGCATCAAGCCCCCTGCAGGCTGGAATACACACTCCCAGGGACAGAAGCCTGACCTCGCCATCGTCAAGGCTGTAACGCAGATGGTCCCATCTAAAATGGGCAACACCTGGCAGCTCTGCAAATCCTGGTCCCTCCCTGTGCCTTGAGGTGCTCCTGCAATACAAGTTATATGGTCTGGCTGCCATAATCCCACGCATGCACCTCCCGTCCAGTTTAGATCATTGGGATAGCTCCAGATTCAAAGCCTGTCTAGTCGAAGAGCTGAGGCTGGCAAAGCAGGCGAATGCAGGAAGGCACAGACTGGTTTCCCTTTGCAATCTCACTGAAGAGTCCCAAGCAATTGGACCCCATTCCACAGTCAAACAGATCCCCAGCATTCACCCTGGAGTTTCATTCCTCACCCCATGACTCCTATCTATTGCCCCTTAGCACCCCCCATCCACCTCCATCCATAGTATGCTCCCTTCAGGGGAAAAAAGACAAACTGAATTCAATATAACACGGCTTATGAGCGCTTCCATGGGGCTTCCAGCAGCTGAGCACTTTGCAAACATTCTCTCTAATTAGTCTAACACAGTCCCGCCCGTGCAGCTGCTCGTGGGCGGCAGCTGTGTCTAGTTGCAATTTTAAAACAAAACAAAAAAAACACGTGAACCATAGTTCAGTAACGACTGTTGCATAATTGGCGTGACAGGACTACGGCTCTGCGCCGAAGGGTTAATGTGAGCCCTGGAGGCTGGGGTTTGCTCCCATGGGAACAAGCTTAAACATTCCCAGATGGAGATTTTCTGCTGAGAACATTAAAGACTGAGGAAGTTCCCCTTTTGGGGTATTGGGGGAGGGGAGGGAAGCATGGCCTCCATCCAATCGCTCCTGCCCTCAGCTGGAACAATCCCCCACCACACAGGTACACTGAGGATACCGAGTGAGTGGGGAACTTCAGGAAAGCAGCAGGCCTTTGTCCGCTCTCTCCAGCAGGAAAGTTTCAGGTTTCCTGCCCATAGCAGGCGCTTGCTCAGCCAATGGAACGGCCAGTGGCAGGCGAGCTCATTCCCCACCCAGCTCAAGCAGAGTCTAAGTTTCCTCCAGCTAGAGGCGTGTGCTGTTCCCTTCTGCAGAGCTCCGGCAAGCTTTCCCCTGCCACATCGCACAGGCTTGGCAGCGGGACGAAATCTATGCGAGGCCAGGGGAGAAGCAAGGGGATAAGACTGTGTGTTGGGAATGGGGAGACTGCCTAAAAACCAAGCCCTGCAGTGCTCCCACCTCATCATCATCCAAGTCACAAGCTTCGAAGCAACATGTTACAAGCTTCTCATGGGACAGGAGAGTCACGCAAAGTTTGGATCATCATTTATCAAGTATTTTGCAGACCATTAACTCTCTCCTACCACGGTTTCCTCTGCTCAGATGCCATTTGCTCAAATTCAGAGCAAACAGCTTCTAAGGTTATTGCAGCAACACTGTGACCCTCTCCAGTCCACCTATTGGCAAGCACCTCCCGCTCAAGTCATTAACCCCTTCCCTATGCACGATGCTGTTGGAAGTGACCTGTGATTTGGGGCACGTCCATTTTTGGATGCCCAACTCAGGCCTGATTTTTCCAAACTGGGCAGGCAGGAACTGACTTGCTTAAAATTCAGAGCAAAGTCTGGGGGAAGGGCATGTCCTTTCTGTCACCGTGGCCAGATGTTATTGGAGGATGGGAGGGTGGGGAGAACAGGAGCAGGTTGTCCCTCCTCCACTCGTCCCCCGGCCCGTTTGCACACCCAGTTGGAAGTGTGATTTGGTTCAGGAATGAGGGCTGCAGAGAGATATGGAGCCAGCTGCCTCCCTCTCACCTGTCTGTTGAAATCCTCTTCATTCTCCATCCACATGTACTCTGCGAAAGGGTTGTTCTCCTTCTCATCGTGCCCGTTTACAACCTGCTCGTCTTTGGATTTCGTGTTGGACGTCGTCGTATTGGCAATGTTGGAACCATTCATCATTACTGGTTCTGTGGGGAGGGGAAAACAGGGAGCATCAGAAGGAGGGAAGCGACAGACCACGAATAGAATCGTAGAATATCAGGGTTGGAAGGGACCTCAGGAGGTCATCTAGTCCAACTCCCTGCTCAAAGAGGGACCAATCCCCAACTAAATCATCCCAGCCAGGGATTTGTCAAGCCTGACCTTAAAAACCTTTAAGGAAGGAGATTCCACCACCTCCCTAGGTAACCCATTCCAGGGCTTGACCACCATCCTAGTGAAAAAGTTTTTCCTAATATCCAACCTAAACTTCCCCCACTGCAACTTGAAACCACTGCTCCTCGTTCTGCCACCACCGAGAACAGTCTAGATCCATCCTCTTTGGAACCCCCTTTCAGGGAGTTCAGGACTTCCACACCATCGCATGACTCAACCCCAGAGCAAGAAAGGAGGTACGTGTGCCGTGCTTGGGTCTCGCCCCACCAGGCGGAAAACCTGCCCAGCATATTGAGGATGATCTGTGTTGTCCGATCTCACAAGATGAGAGCTTCCAAGGTGTACAGCACCTGTCACTTGTCTCATTACTCCAGCACGCACTGCTCTCCTGGGGGATGGATGTGCAGTGCCCAGGAGATCCTTAGGGATCTATCAGCATTTACACTCAGTTAATTGAGGCTTCATCTTTCGGTCAAAGTACCTCATGTGGCTGCAGCACATGCTGCCCGCAGGGGAAGTTCTGCTAGCCCGGTAACCGCCCCTCCCCGAGCAGCAGCAGCGATGCTGACCAAAGCTCTGGTCTGCACAGCTACGTGTACGCTGGGGGTTTGCCAGCTTAGCGTGTCACCGGGGAGTGTGGTTTTACACACCTGACCGACATAGCTCCACTGACAACTTTGTAGCGTAGCCCTGACTTTAGTGACTCGCCTAGGGCCACACAGAGTCAGCAACAGGGCTTGGAACAGAAGCCAGCTCTCAGATTCCCAGCCCTGGGCTTTCCCACCCCATCCTCTTTAGCCGACTTAGAAAGTAAAAACTAAATATGCTCTTTGAACATTTAAACGCAGGAACGCTCAGGAGTTCAGGTTTCAAATTCTCTTCATGTTAACTCCTCCACGTTGCCCCACATCTGATCCCTACTTAACCAGTTCACCATGCAGGAGGTACAACAGACGCAGGCTAACATTGCATGGCGAACCTTAAGGGGGCAAACACACCAAACTTAACCTTCTTGCCTTTACTACTGAAATGGATTCCATGGGGCAGTCCTGGCCTCTCCCCTGACTGGAAAGGGGAGGTTACATGACTGAATAGGTGAGTTCATTTCTAACGTCCAGGATGGTTGCAAACCGGCTCATTTACAGGCCCGTCCCTAGAATCAATATCGCCAGCCCACACACTTAACAAAAAAACCCACCAACAGCAAAAACCACGACTCAGGTCTGCAGAAATTCTGAGAGTAACTTAGAAGTCATGAGACTTTTTAAAATAGGTGATTTTCTTCCCCTCAACGTTCTGGTTTCTCAGCCTGTCAGGATGCACCTGGGTTAGGTTTTTAAGCCGTCTCCTATAACCAGTGATGAGCTGCCAAAATCTTAACAACGGGTTCCCTCCTCACCCCACGAGGGGGTTGTTGCCCACCCCCGCCCCCCGGGACTTCTGCCCCATCCAACCCCCCCGCGTTCCTTGATGCCCTCCCCCACAGGACCCCTGCCCCATCCACCCCCCTCCCCTGTCCCCTGACTGCCCCCAGAACTGGGCAGGACGGTCTCATAGGCCACCGTAGTGGGTGCCCACCACACCCCTAAGAGCCAGAGGCACCTGCCAGGGGGCGAGGTGGGGAGTCCTGGCGGTGCTGACCTAGGGCAGCTTCCAGGAAGCATTCGGCAGGTCCCTCTGGCTCCTAGGGGTGGGGAGTGTAGCTGGGGGGGAACAGGAGGAACGGCCGCTCACCCACTGATCACATCAAAAGTGGCGCCTTAGGTGCTGACTCTCTGGGTGCTCCGGGGCTGGAGCACCCACGGGGAAAACTGGTGGGTGCAGAGCACCCACCGGCAGCTCCCCACCCCGCGCCCGGCCCCAGCTCACCTCCACTCCGCCTCCTCCCCTGAACACGCCGCCCCACTCTGCTTCTCCGCCTCCCGCAAATCAGCTATTCACGCGGGAAGCCGGGGAGGGCTGAGAAGTAGGCAGCGGCTTCCTGCTCAGGCCGAGGGTGGCAGAGGTGAGCTGGGGCGGGGAGTGGTTCCTCTGCGCCCCCCCCCCCCCACATCCCCCTGGGTTACCTGCTGCGCCTCCTCGCGCCACCCCGCCCCAGCTCACCTCCGCTCTGCCTCCCTGGGCCTGAGTGGGAAGCTGCCGCCTGCTTGTCAGCCTGCTCCAGCTTCCCGCACGAACAGCTGATTCGCAGGAAGCCGGGGGTGGGTGGGGGGGCACGGAGAAGCAAAGCGGGGCGGTGCATTCAGGGGAGGAGGTGGAGGCGAAGTGGAGGTGAGCTGGGGCTGGGAGCTGCCGGTGGGTGCTCTGCACCCACCAAATTTTCCCCTTGGGTGCTCCAGGGCTGGACCACCCCTGGAGTCGGTGCCTAAGGCGCCACTTTTGGCCAGTTAAATTTAGAAGCCCCTTTAGAACCGGCTGTCCCTCGCAGAACAACTGGTTCTAAAAAGGCTTCTAAATTTAACAACTGGTTCTAGCAAACTCGTGCAAACTGGCTCCAGCTCACCACTGCCTATAACCATGAGAGCTAGAAACTTTTTACACAAAAGCTGACACACACATTCCCATGACTTCAGAAGCTGGAGCTTTAATAACTACAAATATCATGAGACACGCTAAAATTGCATGAGGCGAAACACATCTATCTAAATTCCTACTGTGAATGGAGGGGAAAACCATGGAAAGAGAGGAATGTGAGATGTAGCAGGCTATATAATGTAAAATACTATTAAAAATCAAACCCCACAAATTAGTTACAATGTGTCTGTGGATGTTTAGTCTTCCCTGGGGTTTTGGGTAGCTCCAACTCTGACAGATGCCATCTTGCAAGGCAGAGGAAAAGTGGGATGAGTCTTATTTGACTCGGCCCCATGCACTTTTCTGGCCACATCCAAAACAGGTCTCATTCCATAGCACCCTGTCCCCGCCCACAACCATGCTGAAATGTTCTCTCCTCTTAGAATCTGGATCACAGCTGGCTTCAGATCTGGACTCTGGGCAGCAGACTGACACAGTCTTCCTCCCCACCCCACGCTTCCCACAGCAGCTGGAATTCTGCAATACTCATTTAGCACATGTACTATGGGGGAGGAGGAGAAGCAGCCACATTTCCTGTAGGAGAACAAGGCCTGAAATACTTACCCATCATCATTTATTTGCTAGAGAACTAGACCCACTAGACAGAGGTGGATCCAAAGCATAAGGCTGTGTGGGAGCTGAGAAGCCCAGCTCCCCTGCTGCTGGGATTTCTACCCTAGATCCTGACTGGTTATTCCATCAGCCTCTGGCTTGTAGATGACTCTGATGTGAAGCTCCACACCCACGTTTTAGCTTCAGGAAATAAGGATCTTTCCTCTTTCACCTCCCTCTACCACAGCCGCCTGGTATGTGGGGGAGAGGCCAACCCCTCCTCCACGAATACCTCTGCTGCTGTTCCAGTTGTCCCCAAGCAGTAGCAGGAATCAGCTTGTCCGGCTGCTGTCTACAGGGTTCTCGACAGTAGCGGAAACTGACCAGAATCTTAATGTTGCATCTGTAGGGCAGAATAGCAGGAGCAGGGGCCCTGGAGCTGTCTGTCTGCAGACTCTGGAAGACCGCACCAGGTCCCATTTGGAAGGTTTAGCACAACCAGAAAAGCTGAAGACGTTTTTGTTTTTAAAATGACTGGTTAAATGCTGCAAAAGTTAATAGGGTGGGGTCCTCTTCCTTGCTAGGGCAAGCTTCCCAACCAGGCATCACTCAAAGCCTGGGGGGAAGGTGGTGGAGAAGGCAGGAAAAGAGTTGTGGAGCAGAGGGTCGAGGGGAAGATTACAGAGGCAGGGTGGGGGCAAGAGGATGCTGAAGTTTTAGAACACAATAGAGTTTTTCCTCCCCTTTAAGAAATCCAATCCAGTCTCCCCTTATTTCTTTGCTCCGCTGAGAAAACAAGATGTTTACACAGGCAAAGCCAACCCCTCATGCAGCGTTAAAGAACTGGCAGGGATTACCGTTCCTTAACACTATCCAGAGTAAACCCTTCTATGCAAACACAGGGATGTGGCAGGGACACTGATCTTAAGCTGGCACTGAGGTTTGCACCAGGTGTGAGCCAGGAGGAGCTGTACCAGTAACTGCAGAGATTGGGGCAGTTAAAGTGGCAGCACAAAAATCAAGTGCCCCAAAAATAAAATCAAACAACAAAAGGCAGCTTCTGCCATCCACCCACACCTGACAGCGTCAATCAGCTGTGCTAGGTGTAATCCCAGGCCTGTTCCCTCAGTGCAGCTCGACCCACGCCGAGCAGAGCTTTGCAGCAGTTTCCCAGCGGCAAAAGGATTCCTCCATCGCTTTGCCAGGCACTTGAGAACCAAATGTGAGCTCCCCACCATGTGACAGGGCCCGCTATCTGCATCATCACTCCCTCCAGCGCTGGGGAAAGGAGTGCTACCCTGCTGAGCAACACCACCAGTAGGCAGGAAGAAACAACTGTCTACAAAGAAATCGAGGGAAAACACTGAGCCCTGATGAGGTACACCGTGGAAGGGACACACACCAGGCCAGGAGCTCAGAGGCTCAGCAAAGGCCGGGAACTTTGAATTGGAGAAAAGCAAGATGTAGCCAGAGAGACAACTAGGGCTGGATTAATCTTTTGTGGGCCCCACGCACCGTGCTTCGCCTGTGCTCCACCCTGAGGCCCTGCCCCCACTTTCACTCCACCCAATACTCTACCCTGAGCCCCCGCCCGTGCTCAACCTCGTCTCCCCAAGGGTGGAGGGAAGGGCGGAGAGGAGTGAGCGGGACCTCAGGGGGAAGAGACCGAGTAGGGGTGGGGCCGAGCGGGGCCATGGTCCAGGTGCCGGGGCCTCTTCTGAGTTTGGGCCTGGACCCATGATGTCAATTTAAACCTGATACCGGAGACAGCTAGTTACTGAGTTATGGGGCCATGCCCCACACTACACCCCGGCTGTCTCCCTTTCTCACATACCTTGACGGCTGTGCTTCTCTTTTCCTTCCCACCGTGCCGGAGTCACTCAAGAGGGCATCTCAACACCAGGCTACAGATGCAGACCATACAGGCCAGATGGAAGAAGACAGCTGTTTGTTTGTAAAGGTGACCTGCAGCAGGAGGCAGAAAGTGAGCCTATACCCTTCTTCATGACCTGCTTGGTCATTCCACTTTGGAAATCCAGGTCCCTAGCCAGGGACATTCTGTGATGATTGCCAGGACCCTGTTTCACTAGTTCTCTAAGCACTGAATGCCAAGAGATAAAGTCCTCCCAGCCAATGGCTCATTTTCCTAGCTCGTCGCTTTGACCACGTCACCTCTCTCTTCACAGCCCTCCACTGGCTCCCCCTGCTTGAGCACAAACAAACAAACTGCTGGTCTTCACTTTCAAGGCCCTTCACAGCCAGTCCCCACCCTACCTATCTCATTTGCTACCAAGCTGTTGATCCTCACTCACAATCAGCCCACAATAGCAGTCTCCAGCACCCATTTGTCAAATTTTCACACACCCTCATGCTTTCTCCAAGGCTGCCCCTCATGCGGGAAGGAGCTCCCCATGAACATCTGCAAAACTAATGTATCGTCCTCCTTCAAACTCTCCTCTGCCACGATGCTTGCACAAAACTGACAATGGTTAAACTGCTGCTGTGCTCGACCACCACCACCTGTCATGCTGACCAAAGCGGTCTCATTGTTTCCTTCTGCTCATGTCTGTCTCCCATCTCTTGTCTTATGTTGAAACTAAGTCCCCTGGGGCAGGGGCTCGGTTTTATTTTGTTTCGTTTCTAACCAAGAAGTACTGTAGCTAAGCATCACCACGTTACAGATGGGACAACGAGATAGACTGGCCAAGGCCACACGGAAAGTCAGTGGCGGAGTTAGGGTTGCAGCTAAAACAAGACAGCAGCCACCACACTACACTCAGACTCCCATCCTTGCTGTTATTAGATTTTGCGGAGAAACTCAGTGTAGACACACTTAACCATAGATAAGTGCACTGTTCACGTGCCAACAGAGCTCAGGGTAAGCTCTTTAGGCATGCAGTAGTTCTCCAAAACGGGCCAGATTTTTGGAGCTTAAACGTGCCCACCCTCTGCACACCAACATCATAGATCATTTGAAAACTTATACTATGCGTATTTAGATGAGGTCTGACATGGAGCTGTCAAATGTCGCCGTCAAATGTCGCCATCAGCCTGCAGGCAAGACAAAATAATGGTACCCAAAAGGAGAGCCATTTTTTGCACAGTTCCAGAAACAAGGCAACATGACTACAGTGGTTCATTTCAACAACTTACTGCCGTGGGTTACTGGTCAACGCAACCAAACGATAATGTATGAAAAGACTGTTATTGGTTTTGCGTGGACAAGTTCCGCCCCCGCCCCAAAACAATGAAGCTGTTTAGCCTGTGGCAAAAATGGCAACTATCAACATTTTGCAATATCCTAACACGAAGTGTTTTCATGTTGCATATTCTTAATTGTCAGATATCTCACAAATCATTTTCTATATTTTCAGTTGAAGTTCACTGACCAGATGAATCTCACACTGAAGGCTGTGCACTAGCCACAGTAGACGCCGTACCTACAGATTGTACTGCATAGCAGGTAGATGTAAAGTATGGGAATTCTTAACGTGATGCTTCTCCATTGGTAAACTTTTGTATGTACATTGTAGCATCCAGTCTGCCTGGTAGAAGGTTTTAATTTGCAATCACCTACATGTGCTGTACTAGCCTTTGAATTAAAAAGTTAATTTCTAGAATATGTCAGACACACTTATGCACAGGTCAGTATTAGCGTTAGACATGACCATACACAGCTTCATGTTATGAATATGCAAACGCTATGACCTAACAAGAAGCAAGGAGGACAAAGGCAACAAACAAGTCCTTGTCTCTACATTGAAGAAGATGAAGATCATGTTACAGCTCTCACCGACCATATCATTGATAAGACAAACCCATTTGGCCCTGAATCACATCCAGAGGTGCTTACCAACATATCTACTAGTCTGCATGTAACATCAGATGTATCAAGTCTCCACAGACAACAGCAGACGTTGGTGAAGAACAAATGGAGAGATCTGAGAGACGTGCACTTGATTCTGATAAGTCATCTAGCTTCAGCTCCATCAAGAAATCTGGCATCTAGACATCTGCTGACGTGGCCAGACCATCACATTTAAGTCTGAAAAGGGAGGGACAATCACAGCAGCTGTCGGTCCAGAAATTGTTTTTTCTGCACAGCCCTGTTCTTTGCAAAATGCCTAGATGATGTTTCAATGGGAACTGGGCTTAGTCACCCAGTAAGATTGGTGTATCGTCCCTCTTGCTTGCTGATGGAACTATGAGAAGACCAGACAAAGCTGAATTAGACATCAGCTGGAAGCTCAAGTGAAGGAATCCTGGAGCTAAGAGCATGCCACAAAGAAACCACAGTGTACACCAAAGCTGCCCTGGCTGTCTCACAGGATGGCTGGAGACTAATGCCACGCATTCGATGATTTGGCTGCTGGGTACTTGAGGCAGGCCTGAAAAGGGTATGACAAAGCTAATTCTGTAATCCAAGTCTGACAGACAAGACAACAGTACTCTGTGAAAGCTGCAGAAAGACAGTGCCAGATAGGATCTAGGGTTGGATGCAGGAAACACCAGGTGGCTGATGGACACCCTGTGCCTCCATGAGAAAAGTTTCCAAAACTGAGGTCCAACAAGTAGTCCCTTCTGAGATATATGGTTCAAAATCCACCTGAGCATGTAGGAGCACACCCACCACAAACACTCCTCCTAGCCGGATGCTTTCCAACTGTGTAGCACATCCATCACCAGCAGCGGTGTTGTAGAAGCCCAAGACCTGTACAGTATCAAGCACACAAGGATACTTCCTCGCACTGTACGTGCCACTACGGCTTTTGGTTCCTTGGAGTCAAAGGAAGCATAGTAATTAAGTCACGTGACGCAGATGTTTTGGTCCTGGCTGTTCACTAGCTTCCAAAACTGGAACACACAGACACCGTGTGGACTGAAACAAGAACTATTACCAGCACAGCTGACAAGCATCACTCATACCTGTGCCGGCAACTGGGGACGCACCTCACTCCCAACTTCTGCAGTGAATCTCCTCCTGCTGTACACATGTGAACAGGAGGTGACTGTGTCATCCCTACTGGGTGTGCGTAGCAAGGCGACCAAATCAGTGGGGCCTGCCACTCGCCTGCTGTCAGCGTCATACACTTCCGCTTGTGCACCGCCAGCCCCCAGCCAACTTCTCCTGGAGCACTTGGAACGTTGCACGGCCCAACAGCTGGATCGAACATGTCCCCTTCGGACGCTAGCCAGGCCCAGCCCTTGGGCCTTGGCCACAGCAGTTTTCTGCACAGGGGGAGTGAGAGATGCTGTGAGCTAGCATGGTGCTGGATACCAGCCAGGCTGTTCTGACTGCACAGGATTTCACTGAGCTAGAGCCAAGGCCCCGAAAGCCAGGAAAGCACTAAGGAACGGTCACTGGCTGACACGGGCCTTTGCCGTTAGATCTGCAGGCAGGCTGCTGCTCACACAAGCAGCAGGAACTGTACAGAACATGAGTGGACTGCATCCTTCAGCAAGCTTATTGCTAACATGTACCACAGTGATGGGCGTCAAAAAAATACCTGCACAGATAGCCAGAAGGGAAAGAGTTATGTGCAGGAGTCAGAGCCACTGGTCCTGCACCGACTGTTTTAGCTTTGCAGGTCACCTTTCACCACGCTATCCACTGACTTCATTGTAACACAGCTGTGTCAGTTAGCGGGGTACAACTCAAAATTGGCCTGTATGTATATCTCAGAGCAGGGAATTGGGAAGCAGGGGTGAAACCCTGGTTTCACTGAGGTCAGTGGCAAAACTCCCATTGGCTTCATCGGGGCCAAGATTTCACCTCAGGACTCCAAGGTTCTTTCCCAATGCTAGCTACACAACAAAAGGCAAAGTCACTTAGCCGCCCATGGTCTCTCTCCTGGAAGAAGAAAGTAAGAATTCTGACTTACGTCTGCAACGTTACAACCACTAGTTAACATTTGTCTGACAGCTTGTGATTCTCAATATCCATGGAATTTACCTCAGAGTTCACTTTTAGGCCATCCTTCATAGTACAATTCTCCAGCATGTAAGATTTTAATTTAAGAAAACACATTTCTAGGCCTCACATGGTTCCAGGGACATCTCTGAAAACAAGAGCAAATATAAAATGATGCAGTCCTGCCTGCCTGAATCTGCAGACAGTCTGAAACAATGGCTCTAAGAGGGGTGAATCGCCCCATTCATCTCAACAGGATGTTAATCCTGAAATCTAAAGATGGCACTTTAATGTTAACATTCTGATTCTTTCGCAACAGATCTTTTTTGTCAAACACTTCCCCCGCATGCAGCGAGTGTGCTTATGACAATCCCAAACTTCCTTCCCCTATATGCTGAAAGCCCAGTTGTGCCCTGTGTAGATAAAAAGTCCACCAGCTTCCCACCCTCTTGACAATCGCTACAACGCAGTGACACTTGGTCAGTACAAAAGCGAGCACTGTCTTAAAAAATGTAGGATCAGCACAAAATCAACTGAAATCAACAAACTAAACACAGGGACGACAGTACGGAATGGATTATTTATTTTCATTCCGAATTCTTAAAAAAAAAAAAACACACAAAAACCCCTCCATTTACTCTAAATGAGCATGTCTCAAAATTGCCATTCTGCAGCGTATGGAAGAGTCCAGCAATCCTGCGGCAGAATAAAGGTCCTGTTCACAGCTGCATTTGCTCTGCGACGCCCTGCACAAAGGTCTCTTTGCATCTTCACAGTATTTTACTATAAAAATCTATCCGGCCACATACTGGTCTGAAGTCACACTGGTGTAAATCTGGAGCAACTTCATTTAACCATTACTCCATATGCATTCTGGCGTAACCCAGGCCAGAATCTGGCCCAATGGTTTCATAACACCCCCCATCAGACTTAAGATGCAATCACACATCAGGCAGCTTTGCTCACATTGTTCACCAAGTATAGCCACTCGTACTGCAGCGTTTCAGAGCTCTACCTCACAGTCCTCTTGCTGTCCTTATCACATGGCACTCCA